ATTTTTGTTTTTGTTTTGTTTTTGTTTTGTTTTTTTTGTTTTTTTGTTTTGTTTTGTTTTGTTTTGTTTTGTTTTGTTTTGTTTTTGAATTTTTTGATATGAAAAAAAATGTTTTCTGTAGATTTTAATTAAAAAAAAAAAAAAAGATTACAGAAATTTTGGGTTGTGTCCGGTTGTTATAGCTTGTTTTTGACGTCGTACTAGTAACTTGCGAAGGTCAAATAGGTATTCCAAACAGATCGAGCCATCGCCATTCCCCGACAAACTGCATGATGCACTTATGCGCAGTTATAGGTCTGGACCCCGTTTTGAAAAATCCTGGATCCGCCACTGTTAAGGTTTCGCGGAGAGAAAAAAACCCGGAGAACCCGGAGAAAAACCCTCAACACAGGAGAAATTAATGTGGTTGTGCGTTTTATAAGAATACCGCGAAGACGAAGATAGAATCTACAACGAAACTGTGTTATTGTTTTTGGAAGGTTTCGAAAGTGCAGTGTTTTGAAAACGCTACGGTTGCCATGTATACAGCGTAATCGCATAGAGTTTCGAAAACGATTGAACTTGAACTGAAGGAAGGAAGGAAGGAAGGAAGGAAGGAAGGAAGGAAGGAAGGAAGGAAGGAAGGAGGAGAGGAAGTAGACACATGCAGTTTACCTTTTTTGTATGACTAGCTAACTGAAACCCAACTGAAATCTTCTGTTATAACTAAAAATTTTTTTTTTTCCCAGCCAAGCTGTAGTTTTTTTAATCTATCCAGAAATCAACTATATTAAACTTCAGCGAGAAGCCAACGTCGTTTACACAGTCAGAGAATTTTTTACATTAATTTCTAAGTTGAAGAACTTATCTAGTATCTATTTCGTCGAATCACAATTATGACGGCACATCATAATGACATATCATCAATGTTTGCGCGCGCAGACCAGGAGATCAGGGCCCATTGTACGAAGGGTGGATAGCACTATCCGACGGATAATTCCTTATCTAGTGGGATAAGTCAATGCTGGTATACCATAGATTTATCCACTGGATAAGATTTATCCGTCGTATAGGGCCATCCACCCTTCGTACAACCGAGCCCAGTACGTAATTAATGCTTTAGCATCTTCAAAATAAAGCGAGACACACGTTGCAACATTGCGTCGTGTGGCGTGTCTCGCAACATCGATTGTCTGCAACATTGGACATGTTAACTTCTCATGTATAGTGGCATAACAAGGTAAGACGAAGCAGAATAATGAATAATGGTATGCTTTGAATTCACAAGTAAACCTCTTAGCTCCTCTTATTAACATTTGTACCTCTGGTTACGCCCTACACACTTTTTACCCCTTTGCTTAGTTATATTTTAGCACTATTCTTTTGAATCTTATGATAGAAATATTCCTCGTAGCCTTTTCTATACATTTACAAGATATTCATATATTAACTTTAGTTTAAGCTATGTTTAGTTCCAAGATTTTCACTCGTATTACTCGTTATTAGAATATCATACTTAGGTATGTACTATTTCTTTTAGCCAATCATGATTCAACGATATTATCACATTGATTATAGAATGACACCTGTCATAGAATTACTATAAATACAGCTCATGCAATTAGTTCAATAGAGAGAGTAGAATAAAGATCCCGAAGCTCATATACCGAGAACGGTCGTCCCATAACACCGTATCCATTCCTGACTCATAAAACTAATGCGTACGAAAACCCGGCGTTCTATAGAGTCCCTTAGCCCGTTTGACAGTCATACGATTCCTACTCTATTTAACCGAGATTTATCAATAAAAGACTTGAGTAGTGTCTTGATTGCAATTTTTATCCCTTGAATGCGCCAACAGTACAAGAATGGATTGAGTACTGAGTTCAACGTCAAGGCGGTCCACGCTGCGTATCTGTAAATCGTCACGCTTCGACTTTGTCCAAATTTGAGCAACAGGAATATACCAACAATGTATGGTATAACACAAACAACGAACAGCCCATGGATGTAGTACATTGTAGTAATGGATTTTCCTTGTCCGACAGTGGGGACACATGACGAGGAAAACTGACGAGTGATAGACAGGGTTTGGTCTAGTATTTGCCTTCGATGGCGTTGAACGATACGAAGGATCTGAATGTAGCAGTATGACGAGGTAAAAAGAAGAACCAAGATGAAGGTGATGATAGAGATGTAACGTGCTTTTTTATCCACCAGATAGCGGAAGAAATAGATACATAAAGCAATGAACCACAGCAAGGTCTTTAGCTTCAAAGTACGTGGTACCGTTACGATCGTCCGATATCTGAGATGCAGCAAAAGAGCAAGGTACCGGTCCACCGCAATGGCGGTCATGGTCAACATCGAAGCTCCATACAACAGTACGCTTGCGCTTTCCGTACAGGTTTTCAGTAGTTGTTGATGGCCATGGGCGTTAGACACGATTGTCGCTGCTATGGACAGAGGTTGGACTACAAAACCGACCCCAAAGTCAGAAAATGCCAAGAAACAAAGAAGCACATTGGAAGGAGTGTGAAGCGTTGGTGTCTTGAGAATAGCTAGGATGAAGAGAGCGTTAGTTAACGTAGCTGAAAGACCCAAGAGACCGTTGATAAATATAACAATAATGTTCTGATATTCGACAATTCCGTCAATCATATTTTTTACGATTTTAGTTTTGCTGATCGTGCGAGGTAAAGTTACGTCAACCGGAGAGCGAGTTAAAGTGTAAGGCTACTTTTAAGCAAAAACCAGGTGCCAGGTGATTACAAATAACAAGTCAATTTAAACTACGAATTACGCGTCTTTTAAATCAGTAAATCCCTCTCATCAATCAAAAACTTGACAAGCTAGATGGGGGAATATAGGAAGGCGGAAACCAACTCGAAAAGGTGTTAATACATTTCAAGTAGTTAGGGTTTTTGAGGACAAACAAAAAAAAAATATGGCAAAAACACACTTTAGACCCACCAGATGTTTCTCGATGACTAAGATAAACAAGGAACAAATCCATTGAATCATTGACATAATTAAAGGAAAATTGAATTTCTTGTGAAGACGGAAACAATTAGATAGGTGGGCAAAACAGTTACTACACAGCACTCGAGAATCGCAGTCGGTGCTAGAAAAAGTGTTAATATGAAAGTAATAATGATTTTCACTTAGTTATTCTACGGATTATTGTACCGCTCTAAATAATGACAAGCAACTTTTTATTGTGCACTGGATGCTCATAATTTTATTATATCAGAGTAATTTCCGATTCATAAATCACACTTTTCGTACTATATGTTAGGTACAATATTTTCAAAGAGAAGTGCGCAGTGCAGGCTAGGCAACTTCGCACTGCGCATGGACATAGAGGTTTTGCACCATCGCGTGACGGCAGCCATGTTAGATGGCAGGAACAATGCAATTGTTTTACATAAGAAAGAATTCAATTCCCAAGAGCAAAGTCCTACCATCTAACCACAGTCAGTCCAAGCTGTATTTATATGGGCGCCGGCAGGTGATGGTACAAAGTCTCTATGAACACAATGTTTTTCTACTTTACACTCGATGATTACCTGTCAACAGATGCATTAAATGGCGACCAATGAACAAACCCTTTTTTTAGACCTGAATAAAACCATGGAGTATCTAAATTGATCTTTTGATGACGTCAAGAGTCATGAGTGGCGTCAGTGACGTTGGTTGACACCAAATTGATTTTATGATGTTCTACCGTATGTACTCATATACAATGCAGCATCATTAATTACACGCGACAGAAGATTGAGGTTTGATAAATAATAATAATTGAGTCCGTCCGCCATCCGACGGGGAAACAACCATTTAATGCTAGTTTCATTATTGAGTTCTTCGACTTGATCATATAGTGGATACACCTATTTAGAAAATCGTTGTCGCACCAAAAGCCTCAAACAACAAGCCATGACCGCAGAGAATGCCGGTACTTTTAGCTGTAATTAGTTTCTTCATGGTGCATTTTTATTTATTGACTTCACAAATTGCTCCAAGCAAGGCTGCTTGAGATGATAATTGGTGGAGAGATAAGTCTGAAACGCAGTACGAATCCCACTTCGTGGACTATAGATAACACTTCTTAACTATAGTGAAAACCGGGCTGCGCGCATCCTAGATTCTGAATTCCCAACCAAAAATTTCGTATATATACTGTAGGTCAATACTGGGATCAGACGAATCTATCATCATTCGGTATCAGAATCAGTATTAGAATACTTCACCTGTAACCTGTACTACTTTAGTACTAGCATAAGGACAATCTTCCAACCATATTAGGATCGAACGTCAATAGCCCACTTGTGGCTTCCTACGGTGGAACGGTATTTTTGATAAACCTTTTTTCCATTTAAGTTTTTTTTTTTTTTTCATATGACAATAAATTTATTGATTGTCGCGTGGCACTAATGACGAGTTGGTATGGTCACGAAATATTCTGTTCGCGCGTTTTCCCCTAGCTATATTTCGTTTCTTTATCAGTTTTGCCGTGCTTTCCCTCCGGCATTATTACTTTAAGAGCCGTTATTTAATTTATTACTTCACACGCTCGATGAAATAAACTTTTGTCGAGCATGCGCAAGAAGAAATAAGGGCTGATGAAACGAGATTGTTGTTCCGCGCAACTGCGTGTATGCTCTCATTTCCGACTTCGGAGATATTAAAAGCCTTTCAAAATTAAGATTAAGTGCATATCGTGCATACTTTTACAAACTGAAGTGGTCGTCCTTCTTTGCTTTCCGCGCCAGCAGGCATAATGGGCAGTTAGTAAGTAAGCAATTACAAACTGAACATGCTAGTGGAGCGGCAAGTTTGAAACGTGAAAGTATGCTTGTAACCTAAGGACTGTTAGTGACAAAAGACAAGACAAGAGCCATGCCATACCAAGATTGAGACGCATGTTGTTGAATGGTTAAGCGAAATATACCGAACAAGAATATCAATATAAAGAATGTATATGCATAAATGTCAAAAACGCTTTTCCACTATTTTGTTCGAGCTAGTTTCGAAACAGCATTTCAGGTTTTACAACAAAGACTTGAAGGCTAATAGCTACCCATAGTGCATTGTGGCCGTGGAAACCAGCAATTTGTTTTGAAAGTCAATATACAATATACTAAAGGAAAGTGTATCTGTTCTTATTTTAGGCAGAATGTACAGGTCATGGCATGAATGAAGGCCAAGTATTATGCCTTTATCTGCTTTATCGATAACACGCTGAATTAATGTGATAATGAGCACACGGCAATAAGCCATCAATGGAAGCATTCGCCCTCTCTCTTAAAGCCTGCATAAACCACTTCCTTTTTCCCTTTTGGGCCGCTACGCAGGCTACTCTAACGTTGGTCAAAAGGTTTAAGGAGGGTGAAAATAATTTTCATAACGTTATTTGCGCACCGACTCAAACGCTAATACCTTCAAATCTTTCGTCGATTCGATGTAATTTCAACTTGATGAGGGACTCATTCGCAAAGTAGTCATCCGTAGTTAATTTTGAGCTGATTTTGAAGAAGAAAAAGTATTTGAATTCATTAGTATTTTGGCCTTCTTAAAAAACAAGGGGCAGGCAAGCACAGTTTCCAGGTTTGTTTTACGCATTTAATTTGAATCAGCCTCGGGCAGAAAATCTGCGGAGGGGAAACAAGGAGGAGTGGAGATGGGAGGTGTCTGGTCACGTGACAATCCAATCAAAACAGAGTCACGTTCGATAAATTTTCACAATGAAATATTAGTTGAGATTATCTTATCATTCTTTACTGCTGAGCATGCATAATCACAATGCTATTTTCACAGACCATTGACGATTTGATGTCAATCCCAATGTGCAATTTTTTGTTTTGACGCAAACTACCCCTCCCCCAAAAAGACCCGTCGCTTAGCAACCCTTCCACTTGAACAAGTTTCAAATTTATGCAGACAGGCCTTTTGCTGATCCCACTTATTTAGACCAATCAGCGAAGCTCTTGGGAGTTCGACGTCACGAACTTTTGCGCAGCGAAAATTTATGCGTTGTTGGCGCTCTCGAAGAAACTGTCAGCGTGGAAGAAATACGAAAGGCAAAATTACGCTTAAATTTTGGACATTTTGGCGAAAAGTAAGTTCAATATAAGACATTATAAGTAAACTTTGATAATTAAAGGTCAGAGAGGAACTGTGGTTGGGCCAATCGAGGTATATTTGGAAGAGATTGAGAGGACTCTCGTCTGGCATGTCTCATATGATCTAAAGTTCTTTGATCATATTTCAGAGGCAGCGACCCGTAGGCTTTCATGATAACAAGCTTTTATTCTCTCTTACAGGCAAAATTCGCCGGAATGGCGGTGGGGAAAGGATTTTTCGACCAATATTCTGTATTCTGCGTGTTTGGATCGGTTGTAGGATGTGTGGTAGTACCGCTTATAACCCAGGTATTTCATAAATATATCTTACTATTTTCGTTTCATCTCGTTGAATCCATGTGCTATTTGCTATTCACTCGCAATATTTTTGTTATATTTAGCGTTATATTTCCTAAACTTCATCACATTAACATTTGAATATTGTAACAAGTCATTGAAAATACTTTCCTGGTTTTCTTAGTCCGTAGAAAGTGTTATTTTCTCGGCTATCGTGATCAGCCTGACTGCTACCCATTTGACTAAGCGTGCTTCTAAATCAGACAACACCAATCAGGTTCGTAATTTTTTCCTCCAACTGGCAAAAACCTTCCTTAATTTGTTAAAATATCACATTTTTAATGCCTGTCATTGTAAAACTTTGCTACATTGTCACTCTATAAACGTTATTTGCAGGTATATGGTGTGAAGGAGGTCGAGAAAAGAAGCAATCGGAAAGCGAAAGATCGTGATACTCAGAACGGACAAACAAAAAGGAAAAAGAACGTCTCTCAAGTAAGAATCTTTGCTATAAAAAAGTAAACAGGAACCACTTTAAATGTTCTAGAATTCCGAAATCACTTTGTTTATAACGATTGACTTTCAATCGGTTTTCTAGGACAACGGACCCTGTACGACCAAAAATCGTATTTTTTTAATCTGTCCATCAGTGTTTACCTTCTAAGCTAAGGCGGGCTCAACAACTTATAAATACCCAGATTTCATTTCACTCTTCTAAATTTTGGTTTTCTAGATATTTTGAATTCATTTTTAAAGATCGTATCAATAATTACGCATATAAAGACTTATATAGTTCGCCATCGTTTAGGGGACAATTTATAAAACAAACATGCGATGAATATTATAATTATGAAAGTCATCTTTCAATATCTATGATTCTCGAGTTTTTCTTTTATTATTTAAGGGATAGGTTTAAGGGGTAGCTTTTGGTTTGTTTTGTTTTGATGCGAAGTGTACTGTATTTGAGAACAATGGGAAGCCTTTTTTATGCCATATTGTTTTGACTGATTATATTCATACAGAATTTTCTTGAAAATTCTCTGGGGCTTAGTCATGCTTATTGGACTGTATTTTTGTTCAAATTAATCATACCGTTGTCATGTTTTTATTACAACTGAGTCAGATTATTGTGTCTCATATATTATTTTTTATTACATTTTTAGCAAGTTATGATCACAAGATCTTCAGATACTCGCAAGAGACGAGAGGTTGATCTCGAGAAACTCGAACTGGCAAGACAGCAAGAATTGGTAAGCAGGAAATATATAAATTAATAATAATTATACTGGTTTGATCTGCTTATTCACACCGATATCCCTTAATGAAATAGCATCTATGTTGAAGCCCAGGAATACTACACTAAAATTTATCAAGCCAACAATTTTTTATAACATTGTGAATTTACTGGCTACAGATGCATTGAATTCTTGAGACTTTGTTTGGTTATCTAGTTACATAGCATAGATTCATGTCAAACGATGCTATGTTGTGTAAATTATCATTTTGCTCATGAATTATTTTGGATTTTTAATTACATAATGACTATAGATATATATTTTTGGGTTTTTTAAAATGTTTTGGTCCGTCCCAGTTATGTCTTCATTGCTTAATATTTAACATCAGTGATGACAAATTGTTATTTTTAGTATGTACTTTATGTGGGATATTTGGCATATTTATGGAATTCAGATTTGGTTGGAAATTGAAACAACATTTTGAATTAATGCGCATGCCCTGTAAATTAAAAAGAAGAAAAAAATGCACTTAGCATAAAATAAAATAATGTGGTTGCTAAAGTAGCAAAAATATATACACCTACTTGCAAGAATGTTGTCATACGAAAATAGAACATTAGTGATTTAGTGGGATAGGAATTATATTAAAAAACAAAAGAAGATCACTGAAGCTGAATTTTTTCTTTTGTCTTTTAATGTATTCCTTTCTCACTAAATTACTAATGTTCTAATATTGTATGACAACGTTCTTGCAAGTGGGTGTATATATATGTATAAATAAATAAAGATTGATAAGATTATACTTAAAAGATGATATTTGAATTTAAAATTCATAGCAAGAAGGTCAATAGTACTTTTTTACTCCCTATTTTAGTAATAGCTCTGTTTTAAGCTTCAAAGCTAAGGATAGCCTATAAATAAGTTAATATGAATGTCGTTCATGATCAATAGTCAGAGATGGTTTGAGAACTTTATGAAAGGGAAAGCCTAGGTGACATGTAGTCTTGATTGCATTTTGTTTTAAATACAATGACTTGGGTTCGAGTAAAAGAAGCATTCTCTAGAAAGGAATCCTTGACAAAGGGCGACCTGAAAGGCTGCTTAAGCTCTGCACTAAGTCTATTGTTTTAGCCAAATGTTGCTGTGGTTTGAGAAAAGCAAAAGTCTTTTGCCTTGTAGTGATTTAAATTCTATTAATAATACTGAAAGATGTATAACACTATTATGCATTATGACAGCTAGGCTTTCATTTTTGAAAAAAACTTTACAGTGCATAGGTGGCATAGGCAGGAATGCTAATGAGTCCCACTTCAACATTTTGTGGAGTTCAACCCCCCTACTTTTTAGGGTTACTAGTTTTAATTTCCCTATTGCATTTTGCTTCTTAGATTACTTCCCCCCCTTCTAAAATTCTGTTTGGCCGCCACTGCAGTGATTAGCTTGCACTAGTTTACATTAATGTTACAACATATAGAGGATATTACTTGGTGGCTTGGAGATATGAAGTTTATACTCAAGTTGTTGAAATATTTCATGAGTGAGCAGAGTGTTTTTCAACATGAGAAGCTAAACTTCATATCTTCAAGCCAATATGTAATTTTCTTTTTATTATACAGACATACACTTATTTCAATAAAGTTAGTCACCAAAAACCTAGAAAGCTGAGATCACTGAGCATCATGGGAAACTTTTCATATCAAGGAAGCATATATATACAAAGCTTTTTTATTACAAACTGCAGCTCGATTATGCTCAGAAGAGGTGAGACTATAATGGGTAAAAGATTCGCAAGTCCATGAACAGTTATCAAGCGGTTGAACATAGCTTTTTGGGTGACTAACTTTATTGAAATAAGTGTATTCACAAACAAAAACTCGTTTCAACGTGTTAAAGTGAGTGGGACAACATTGGAATTGACATCATCAATATCTTCATGTTTGAGGATATGGAAAATACGTCACTGAGGTTCCAGATATAGTTCACACGAAGAATACAAGTGGCATATTTCCCAGTAAAACGCTAGTGTCCATATAATAAAATATAATTATGTTGCTTTATTCCAGGACCGAAAACAAGAAGAAAAGAAGGAAAAGAAGATGAAAAAGAAAGAAGAGAGAATGAGGAAAAAAGAACAGGAAAAAGAGGAAAAAGAGGTATATGTTCTGTGCAGACAAGCTGGTTAAGACTATTTGTTATTCCCTTGAGTATTATTGTGTACCATTAATATTGGTGCCACTCAAAAAGAAACTTTTTCTCAAAGGAATAGCTTATAGCTACTCTATTCAACTTGGTTGAAATAATGAAGTTGAAAACATGCGTACGTGTTGTGTGCAATTATAAAACAAAGGGGTTCAATGGCAGAACATGAAGAAAAGAGCTAGGTGAAGCATGAGGCATGCCGGAGTGTTTCTCAAAACATCTTGAATATTTTACCAATCCCCCAGTGGTTTTGAACTGCACACAGCACAGCAAGCAAGATTTTTTATTTCTTTTATAAATATCTTTGGATACGATGACAAAAAACAGAATGTGAGGTTTAAAACACTTATATAAAATAATTTTTCTGTGAAGGAAAATGGAATATTTTAGTTGAGATGTTTTGACAATTGTAAATAGACCCAGTAAATAGACATTTAATTTATAGTAGTTGAGCCCTTGTGATTATGAATGTACTATACAAGCTAAGGTGGCTCTACCAGAGGTCTACAGCATGCTCATACCAATGTACTTGAATGCTCCACACTAATTTTTTAGCAAATTAACTCACAAAGCTAATGTTGACTCAGAATCAATGATGAAAGCATTATATATAAGTTAGCTGAAACATTGGTTTATATTTTTATAATAATGTCTTGTGGATGTGCTTGATGTTTCATCTTTTAGTAACAAGAGGGACTTTTTTTAATGCAGAGAGAAGATCAAAAACTTAAAAAGCTCAAAGAAGAGAGATTAAAAGAAAACTTACGACAGCAAGAAAAGGTAATTATAAAACATATATCTGGTTTTAGATTGATATTAGATTTTATTCTTATCGTTGTTTTAGTTGTTATTGTTATTATTATTTTGCAGTAAACACGTTTGAATGCTAATTAGATAAGCTAGATAGGGTGAAATTTCGTAACCTACCAGCATGACAGGACTAATAATATAATCACTTAAAACCAATTATAGAGGGAAAAATATATATATAGCTATATCGTTATTATTATTATTATTATTACTACTACTATTATTATTACAGTATTATTATTTCATGAGATATTACTTAAAGTATACAGTATTAGAAAAATAATTGCTTACAGTACTATAAATCACGTGACTTTTTGGAGTTGACTGGGGGGCAAACAAACGGTTGACTGAGGGGCAACTAGCGGATGTTACGTCAAAACATGTCAAAATAAGTCCTCAAACTATTGAATTTGACTATTTCTACGACATGAAACCAGAAAAAAAGAGATCAAAACAACCTCCAAGATTCTACATTAAAAACACAGCTATTACCGGAAGTGAGGTCTATTGATAGCAACCTATCGTAAGCCTAAAAATAAATATTTATCAGTAAATAAAATTTATTGATATCCAAAACTTTAAAACAACTTTATAACAATCATATTTTAGGACTTTTTAAAATTGCATCTTAATAAAATAAAATAATAAATAAATAAATAAATACACACTTATGTATAGTTATATACATGCCAGTTGCCAGTTGTCTCTTGAACTCTGGAAAAGTGAACTACTTCATACATGGTAACTGCAGAAACTTGCTTAATCTGCATTAGATCATGTTTTTTAATACAACCAAGCCTACATGATTGGTTTTCCAGTAACAGATCCCTTGCACTAATTCCCAAACTGTGGGTCAAAGTAAAAGAACTAACTTTTTTTGAGGATTGAAATCTTTTTTGATGTGAATGTTTTTACATTGTTTTGATCTCCTGGTAGGGATTTACAGAGATTCTCAGTCACACGTGCCGCTCTAGCGATTGTTTCTGTTGTGATGAAGAAGGTTTTGGTGGACGTCAATCAAGGTGTTTCCATGACATTCCTAGGCACGTGCCCTTAAAGCTTTGTGTTTTCCGTTATGGAAACGCCTTGTGATTGATGTCCAACAAAACCTTCTTCGTCGCTGCAGAAAAAATCTCTAGAGGGAACGTGTGATTGAGATTGGCTGTAATGCAAGGGGTGTATACTTCCACCTTTTAATCTTTGTGGCATTTGTTTGATTTCAGTGCATAAATTAACAAGCTAATCACCTTTTTTTGTTTTCAGATTGCATCACAGAAGCAAGAAGCTCACAAATCGCGAACAAGCACATCTAAAATTTCTAAAAAGTCTGAAAGTTTAACACTTAAACCCATGTTTCAACCTGTGACTCCTACAATATTAACAGTGGATGCACTGTCACGGGAGAGGACCAAGTCGGACAGTAGTGACACATGCCCTAGCCCACCCCTGTCAGTATGGAAAGTACCAGAATATGTAGAACCCAAATGGAATCCAGGAAGTGCTGAAAAACTATCAAATTCAAGCAACACCAAGTTGAATAATGACATTGTTTGTAAGAAGTCCAAAGTAACAGCACCTTTCAACCAGCTTTACAACCCTGTTCACAGCAACCAGTCGTTTTGTAAAAATCATTACATGAACCAGGAAAAGGAAAGCTGTTTAGTGGAACCAACCACAGGCACGTCGTACACACTACTCAAGGACATGGATAAACCAGACAACCGGCAACATATCCAAGGAGATTCTTACTCGAGCTTCTCGGGGCTCCCAGATATTCTCTCGCAGCTAAAACAAGGGCAAAGAGAAGACCTCCAGGTCAGATCTTACTCACTCTTTGGGTCTGATCAACCAGACAGCTCAGTGTTTAGGTCACCCTTGACTGGGCTTTAAGCACATTATATACTAACAACATAAACTTATATACACTATCAAATAAAGTCTACTTGTCTACAGATAGTTTTGTTTAAGTGATAAATAAAGAAATTAATAAGAATAGTTCTTAGGGTTTTGTTTTTTTTCAAAACATGAGAAAACTTTAATAAAGTCTAAATGACTGGAACATGAAAACTGACTTGGTGTCTTGCTTTTTAGCATTTTTCCTGACGAAGTTAGAATGGTGTTTGGGTGTTTCGAATAAAGATATAATAACTATCTGTTCAACATTATTCTTACATAGCCAGTGGCGGCGGAACCAGGGTGGGGGGACATGCCCCCCCCATGAATTGTTTTGGTGGGGTCTGGCCCCCCAACAAAATATTGGTTCTCAGCCATAGTTACGATGCATGCATCTGCAATCAAACAAAACAGCAGTCATTATCACATAGCGTTAAATATAATATTTCAGTGCCCCCCAAAGATTTTCAGCTTCTGCCGCCCCTGATAGCTTGTGTTGCTTGGCTGTCTGCACACCTTTTCTTCACAACATTGCAGACCACCAAGCAGCATAGACTACCTCCCACATAAGGAGCTGGTGATAAATCAGGCCAGTGAGAGGGTCAACTCTTTGGACTTCGAAATAGTCTGTATCTTTGTGCAAGATACTGTGCATCAATTAGCCATTGGCGAACTGGGGCAGTTAAGTGTCAAGGAGACAATCCCTATTGAAAATTAGTTCAACAGGTTCTTTAGTATTCCCATATACAGAAAAGAGAGTTTGGAGAGACCCTAAAACTTTTAAATGCCATTACTGTGTCTCAAGGTATATATATAACAGTCCAGTGTAAAGCTGCCATTTTCAAAACGACTGTTTTTCTGTTTTTGGCGCCTTTGCTTTTCATTCACGGAAGGTACGTAAGGAGAATTTATGGCATGATCAACAATGGATGGATGTACTTGGGTCGTGCAACCCTTACGCTTTTCTTCGTGCTTAGCAACCTCCCGCGTGCATCCATAACTCGATGGACGCACGCTACTTATGATCCATTCCTTAATAGACCCTTTTCAAGTTCCAAATTGCCGCTGTGTTTCTTGGTTGTAGACTCATTTACTCAGGCTTAGCCTCGATTTTGTGAAGAATATTCACGTGTTCCAGTCAAGGTCCGTCAAGTTTCAAAGTGCTCGTATTGTTGAAGTTGTGCATTCTTTACTTTACCGTTGGTATTTGCGAGTAAATAGACACTGATTCGAGGCTACGCCTGAGTAAATGAGTCTGTAATCAAGAAACACAGCGGTAGTTTGGAACTCGAAACTGAACTATTATATGGTGTTGTTTGCCGGTACCGAAGCTAGACCACAATTACACCATTTCTTCAGTGTTTCCTCAACAGCGTGTTTGGTTGATACAAGTATGTTACGGGGGAACAATGGCTCTATAGTTAGCCCATCGTCTTCTACGTCCATGCATTTCATTGTAGATACGTGCTCTAAAAAGATAGAAGAGACACGAAGACTCCAACAAAACATAAACTAAATTATACAGTTTTGTTGCTACAAATACTTTCAATAAAATCTTTGACTTGTCATACCGTTAGTAAGAACTTCAAATATATAATATAGCACGCAAGATAACACAGAGAGAAAGTGAAGTCACACTTTACTCCCGATATTTGGAAAGCCTGTCAGTGACTAATATTGTGCCTCTGCTGTATTAGAGTATAGCTAGCCATACAGCAGTTTTCGTATGACTGGGAAAAGCTCAGTGCCGTAAGCGTGAGGTGCCTTGACCGTGATGATTTCTAGAATGTTAATTGGCTGATTTTTTCACGCGCAATGTGATTGGTCTGGCATTGCTGTGACCTTGGCGTGACCGTGTCTGCGCCGTGTTTATGCCGTGTTCCGGGTTTTTGATTGGATGGAGAGTAAATTTTCGTGCAATGTGATTTGTCTGGCGTATCCTTTGCCGTGTCATGGCCGTGTTCGTACCCTGAATTTTTCACAGTCATACGAAAACTGCACTATGTTTTTGATTCATTGATCAACTCTTTGTCATAATTAGCGTTGTTGCCCATATTACTCAGGTCAAGAGACTCATACAAAGCTGCGGGATTGGTTGTTCGTCGTTTTAGCTCTTGGTAATGCTGAGGCTGCATTGCTGAACGACTTTGACTCACACCAGCAGATAATTCCAAGGAAGTCTCTGCATTTTCAGTCGATTCATCTGCTCGTTGATGGCGTTTGATATCTGTGCTTACGTTCTTATTATCATTGATTGTTTCATAAATTTTGTTTTCAGTATTCGGTGCTGTGTCAAATGAGGTTTCTTCAATTTGATGAGCACTCTAAACGAGAGCAAAAATGACAGCTATATAAATCAAGTGGTTCTAGCTTTGCAGGTTTTGTATCCAATAAAGAAATCATCACAGTACAAACGATACCTCGCGAACTTCAAGTTCCTCTTCTTCAATTACGTCTGAAGACAATCTTCCAGATAGAGAGATTTTAAAAAACCGCTTGTCACATAAGTGATGAAATATATAGACTATAAGAGACAGATAATTTTATCTAACAAAATATATTTACCTTGCTTTCGTTCCTTTTGCTAAAGAGAAAAAAAGAATGAAAACAGTAAGATATCACTTGGTACATTATCCTGTGTTAGCATGTCATCCAATTCCTAGGGAATACCAACTTAGTACAGATATATATATATATATATTCCAAAAACGATATATATATATATATATATATTCCAAAAAAGATTGGCGAAGCTTCGTGGTTGCATGTTGCAAGTTGTTTACCAAGTTTGAAATGTTTTATATTCAAATGTGACTACGTCAGTGCAGAAGAAAATATACCAGAAAAACGTAAAGACAAAGTTTGGACTTCACATTGTTGCGACCTTTCGGATTGCATTCACATCACCCATAGTGCATTTCGGGTTTGGTGAGCAACATGTAACATGCAGCAAAGCCTTTACCAACCTTTCTTGACATAGCTGATAGCTGATTGGATTTGCATTACCCATAGTGCATTTCGGGCTTGGTATGCAACATGCACCTTTACTAACGTTTTTTGAAAAAGCTGTGTCAGTTATCAAGTGATTCTCATATTGACGTCGACTTACCAGCTTTCAGTTTTTTCCTATACATCAGATAAACGACCACAAAAATAAGAACAACATTAATGATAATAGATGTTGCCATGATTGAGATCCCTATAAAATGAGAATATTATATATATATGTGTGTGTATTATTCTTAAATTAAAAAAACGGTTAAGATATTATTGCGTAAGTCGTACCCTATATGATATGCTTTAAAGTAAAGTCTTCTTTTTTGGAAAAACTCTCGAGTTAAAATAAGTTAAACATCAAACTGTTTGCTCTATAAGGAAATCTACACCAATCTACAGGGTACAGTTGGAAGGAAACAAAGGTGATTCACAGATATGTGCCTTTTTTAACAATGCTTTGTGTTTTGTTCGTATTGCTTGCAACTTAAACTTTGGTGTAATTATTCCTTCTTTTATTCCAATCTGCAAATATAATCTAATCGCAATCTAGCTTATGCAACATCGTCATAAAAAAACAAAAACAAAAACAAAAACAAAAACAAAAAAACTTACGAATTGAACTATCGGATTCTCCTGGATCTTTCGTTGTTGATGCTATGAGAGGATGAAAAATAAAAACGAAAAGGCAAATTCAGCAGCAGCTCGAACAAAATATTTATAACAAACAACTATATACGACAACTAGAAAGTAAACTAGAATCTATAGTTCACTCAGTAGTGATAAAGAGTAAAGAACGGTTCGTATTTGAATTTAAAGTGCACATGAACCCTTTGACAATACATTCAGTACCGGTTCTGCATAAAGTAAATAGTTGA